TTCTTTAAGGGTAAATCACAATTTAGGTCCCCCATATGTTGTAATCTCATTATGAAACCATTAAATGAAGTTCTAATTTCTTTGATTTCGAGCATTCATTTTTTAGTACTTATATTTTAGTCCTATTATTGTATGTTATGTCATCCTTGTAAATATTTGACTTGGGTCCTAATATTTATAAATGTTTCATTTTAGTCACTGATGTTAGGTGTTGTGTATTTTCTTTGATGTTCGAATTTGGTCATGTCATTTGTAAAGTTTTTATTTTAGTCACTGTTTGACATTTGGTTTAATTATTGTTTGGTCCTTTATGTTTCTGTTTATTTCATTTCAATCATTTACATTATTATGGGTTATTCTCATTTTTAGTGTCTGTATTTGTTTAAAATGTAGATTGGGGCTATGATTTGTTCATAATTACTGTTTAACTCCTTCAAGTTCTTATTATTCTTATTTTGGTCCCTAATAATATTTTTTGGGTTATTTTCATTTCTGGTACCCATATTATTTATTGTGTTAATTTTGGATCTGGTTTATTTATATTTGTAGTTTAGCCCTCCGAATTTCTATTTTTACTATTTTAGTCCTTTAAGTTTATGTTTTTGCTATTTTGGTCTTATAAATCGAATATGATTATTTATTGTTTTTATTTATTGTATTTTGATTTGTAATATTTTAATTTGTCTAATTCTTCATGTATATGTATTTTGTATATTCTGACACTCAATATTATTTTAAATACATTATTAGTTTCATGTGTTGTAAATATTGATTTTATAAATTTCAAATTATATTTGTTTTCATTGTTTTCTTTATCTATCAATTTGTTTTGGATAATTTCAAGAACGTATTTGTAGAATGGGCGTAGAAAGTATCACTTGATCGAACTGGTAAAATCTAATAGGACGTTAGAACGAAATGAGACTTGAAATAAATTTAATTTATTTTACGATTCAATGTGTTTTATATTGCAATTTAATTTATGCAAAGGTCGATAGTCAATTTATATTCGATTTGCATTTTTTAAATCAATGAGGACGGGATATTCTTTTACAAATAAGAAATAGTTGAAATAGCTTTCCCGATAGAGGCTTACGAATTTTAAGATTTCTTATCGTGTAAAAGGATTTTCTTTAAATAATTAACTCAAAGTAAATTAATTACACTTTAATAAATGAATCATATTTTAACTTTATGTTTGATTCACACTTTCCACCATTACGATAACATGTAAACGATTTAGTACCAATTTTTAGGCACTGTGGGGGTGCTTATCCTTCCCCACACGTAACCGACTCCCGGACCCATCAAATCAAATTTCTGGTAAACACATACCATTTTTGTCTTAAAAATGATTTTCTTTAAAATTGTTTTAAAAATACATTTTTAGGTATTCGACTTACCTAGCCCAAAGGTTGATGGCGAATCCTTTTCAATTTAATCCAAATCAATTCAAAATCCTACAAAATTTTCAAATAAAAGTCTTAATTGTTTTTAAAAAAATAATATTTAATTATTTTAAAAAATGGTTATGACAGCTTGGCGACTCTACTGGGAACTTTTTTTAGAGAGTCAGACTGTAAGTCGCTTACACATTGTCTTCATGGTGGAAATAATGAGTCGAGTCTTTAGTTAACTTATGATCCATTTATTGAGGTTTTTTTAATTTCTTCATTTTTAATTGTGATACTAATTTCTTCATTTTTTATTTTTTAGAGTCAAAGGTAGGTACATTCCTCCTCACACACATCACGTGCATTTGCATAACATGAGCTCTAGACCCGAGCTTTGATCCAAATTAGTTGGGGTGAACGCTTTACTCTCGTAAGAATTTATTCTTCGTATGAGTTTTAGAAAATAACCCATGAGATACATACCTTATACCTTCGTAGGGATTTATTCCTCGTATGGGTATAAGGCCGTGAATCCTCTCGTATTGAACTTGTTCATCTCGAAACCTGTAATGGGTGAGGATCGAGGGTTTGGCAGCCCAAGGGGGCACCGACATCAAGGACAATTAGAGTACATTTTTCCTGTTAGAGCTAAAACTATGCATGTAGTGAACCGTAGAACAATCACCCTAGGTATAGTCATACCAAACCTCTGTCTGTTAGTAGGTACCAAAATAGGTGTACACAAAGGAGGAGCATTTCTGAACCTTTCCTTTTTGCTTTAAATTCTGTTGAATAGCAGCATGCAATCTAGATACCATGTGGTTAGGATTAATTTCTTGAAAAATCATTTTGGGTAGATAGCATGTCTGAGTAGGAATGTTATTTAATTAAAATATGTTTGGGTAGATATCATGACAGGGTAGGTGTTATATTCATCTTTGAATAACATTTTTATCTGTATCGATTGTCTTTCTTGTACTAACTAATTTCTTTTCTTTTGTTTGTGAACACTAACTTATTTCTTTTCTTTTGTTTGTGTCATTTTTTGCATTACACTGTATTGTCATGACATAATGCAAAAATATTGATCCGTAAGGGGATACACGAGAGAAAATTTTCATAGAAAGAGGTAAAAGTTTTCAATCAAGCAATTGCGTTTACAGACATGCACCGAGGGCTAAAAGAAGTTCAGAGTACAAGAATGAGACTTGGTCAAAGATCGTGCAACATTAGAGACTGATATGATGATCCACTTATCTGAAGAGTAATCCAGTAGTAGATTCTCATCTACGATCATTTCTTTGCTAGTCATCCAGGAGCGACTCACTGACTTCAGCACCGTCGGGGCGTTAATGGAGTTAGGTTACAAAGCACTTGAAGGGCATCATTTTCAAGGGCGAAGATCCGAGACGAAGCAGTGATCCACTTCAGACTCAACATCTAAATGAAAGCATGTTTATAAAATGGATTGGCTTGTACTGTGAAAGCTTTCATTTCTGGTGAAAAATATTTATGATATTCATCGTTGGGATCAACATTTTTGCATCTGCATGTGCATTTTTGCATTCTGCATATCATTCATTTAAGCATTTTTCATGTATTAATCATATCATGTGGGGAACTCTGAGGAAGTGTTTCTAACTATGCAACTATTTACACATCACTGAGAATGGATGCAAAATTTGAGAAACTGGAGAAAGAGCTAGAAGAGAATTTGCAAAGAATGTAAGCAAAGTGGGAGGTTAAAATGGAGCAGGAGTAAAAGGCTACTGTGGATCGTATCTTGCAAAACCAAAAAGACCTAGTTGACCCAATGGTAGCAAAATTGACTGGGCTCAACCAAGAAAAAGGCAAAGAGAATAATCCATCGACTATGGAAACCTCTAAATGTATGAGTGGACATGCTAATCAACCGATACTCATTTCGCCCCACAAGCTTCCAAGCCACTAAGTAGGGTTCTCCGCCACTAAAATACGTACAACTGCGATAAATCCTAGGGATAATTCTACTGATCACAGCATGTCACATCCTGATAAGATGAAAAGAGCCAAGAATATGATCCTTAAAAACTTGAAAAAGCGGTGGAGAGATACATTCAAGAGAAGGAGATGACAAAGCTCTCACAATGAAATGGATTCAACCGAACTAGTCTTAGTTCCTAACTTGGTGCTTCATCCCAAATTCAAGATGCCCGATTTTGAAAAGTATAGTGGAACCAGATGTTGATTGGATACATCAACAATGATCAGATGTTGGTTTTTGTTCATTTTGTAAACTATTGGCATGTATTATACTTTTAATTTGAAATGCTCTGATCAGGTTTTGTAAACTCTTACTGTTGGATATTTATGTAAATTATTAAGATTTTATATGAAATGGTTTTTTATTTAGAGTGGTTATAATTCTTTATCTCGACTTGGACAATAAATTTTAAATTTATGACTATTTGTGAATTTCATATGTTTTGAAAAGTCAAATGTGACACCTCGGATCCGTATCTAGGTCAGGTACGGGTCAGGGGTGCTACATCCCTAAACACAATCCAGTGCTCAAACAAGCCATTTGTTTTGTAAACCCAAGCCCACCAACTCAATCCCAGGGGAATGCTTTTTGTCACCAAACAAAACACAATTCAGTGGCTGTGTATTTTTATGTCTCTACTCAGTCACCGACACCAATAATTTTAGCTTATTTAGAGAGGTAGATGATATTTATTATGATGGATAAAGTCGTTTCTAGATAAATACCATTTTATTCAAGTTATTGTTTGTTCGGATGAAAAAAAATATTTCATAAAAGTTATCACTTGTCGTTGTCAACGACTTCTTCAAAATCATACATGATTGTATCAATAACTTTTATTATACAATTTATTTAATTTAAAAGGGATTAAATTGAATAAAAACTAAAAATCAGATAAGAGCTAAATGGAATGAAAAAAAAAATATTTTGCCCGAAAAGAAATGTGTATTCACATGTTAACATGAGTTGGGTTAAGCAATAACGACAACACACATGTGAAGATTTTAACTATAATCACTTGAAATGACCATCCGGCTCAGTTGGTAGAGCACAAGGTTCTTAACCTTGAGGTCGTGGGATCGAGTCTCACGGAGGGCATTTCATAATTCGGAGGTTTCTTACGGAAGCTTCTCTCAACCTGATGTTGGGGACAACCTACTATCTTACCTCCCTCTTACCCCATACATATGGAAAAAAGGGACATCCATTTTTCTTTACAATCCTAACTTGTAAGGGGTCTAACCAATCTCTCTCGGGTCGACTTTCATATCAACATCTTCTACTTTAATATTAAACAACAATTTAATAAAATATTATTTTAGGTAATTTTATATCCCACTAGTATAACTTTGTTACAATCTTTACTATCTTACCTCCCTCTTATCCCATACATATGGGAAAAAGGGACATCCATTTTTCTTTACAATCCTAACTTGTAAGGGGTCTAACCAATCTCTCTCGGGTCGACTTTCATATCAACATCTTCTACTTTAATATTAAACAACAATTTAATAAAATATTATTTTAGGTAATTTTATATCCCACTAGTATAACTTTGTTACAATCTTTACATTCCAACTTGATAACCTTGAAGTATTCTCATATTTCTCGTAATACATTAAATAATCTTATTCCTGCAAATAATTTTACATTATGTACTCTATAAACTTGTATGACATGTTACAGTTGACACTTATGTAATATAATACAGAAGGTAGATGTACCATGAAAGAGAATAGCATTTATATTAAACTTCAAGGCCAGCCAAGAAAGAGACCCCAGTTGAGGGTAACCATGATGATCCATAAATAAATTGTGCCACCGTAAACTTGGCTGCTTCAATCTCTGAATTGATGACTCTATACCCAGGCCATCTAACCCGTTGGCCAATTGCCCCACCTGGTCCATAATTCATGTATTCACCATAATATAATGTATCCAACGCAAATGTAGCATTCCACTCCAGCCATCCTATAGGGTGAATGTGGTCACTTATATACGATAACATGAATACGGCCCGAGAGTACAACTTCCATGGACGTCCTAGATATGTTTGGAAGCTACCTTTGGCTGCTGTCAGATCCGGGGTCGGTAAGATTCGGCATGCGTGGATCGATATGCCTGTATTCTGATTCGGGTCCTTTCGATTTTGTGCTGTGATGGTGTTCTTCTGTAGTGGCATGGGCTTTCGGGCGTAAATGCTACAGTTCTGAAACACCACAGCGGCATTACCGAAAATGAAATCGACGGTGCCGTAAATGTCACATTCACGGTAGAATTGGCGATTGGAGTGAACGTATAAGGTGTCTTGGTAGCCGATGATGTTGCATCTGTATACCACAGCATGGCCTGCGCCGATACGTAGAGCCACTGCCTGGTGCTTTGCTGGTCCAGCCCAGTTCTCGAATGTTATGTCTCTTGCGATAAAACCAGCACCGGTTGCCGCTGAAAAGAATGAGAAGAAAACAACCAATGTTGGGGCCTTGATGACAAGAGAAATGGCGACGGGAGACAATGTGACCCCTCCTCCAATAATTTATGCACTTTTAGCTTTAGATTGTAGCCACAAATCCAGTTTCGGTTTACATATAAGATACACATGATTTTGCACGTAACTGGATAACGAAAGCAGCAAGTGGGTTGAAAGTAAATATTTGACTAAAGTTTGCACTTTTAAGATCACCACAAAGGTGTTGCTTAGTATTCTATTCTATGTACGCATTTTTTTAAATTTTATAACGAATAGCATGTGTTTTAATTTAATTTTTTATTATATCTAATAAAGATTGGATTTAAGATGAAAAATCTTCAAACGAAAAAGTAATATAAGTATCCTTTATACATTTATAAATAATTTCAATGATACTCTTCTCTATTTTTTCAACCAAATCCCTATTTTATCTAATAAAAATAAAATTATATATATTTATGTCGAATCGAATCAGATCACATAATGCATGACTTTTCATAAAAAAATCGAATCAAATAATATAATAAAAATAAAATATATATTTCGAATAATTGAGTAAAAGATAAAGGGATAAATATCAAATTAAAATTGAATCATCTAAAAATTCAATGCAAATTGACTTTGTATCTATTTCTATATCTGATAACATTTTTGGTTTTTTGACAAACATATCCGATATTTGATATTTTTATTAAATTTTGTATGGGTGGATAAAATTAATCTTTTACTTACATAATTAAAACGGATAAATGAACACAGTAGAGAATAATAAACATAAAAGGGGTGTAGTTAAGTTACCAAAGACAGCAGTGTGGAATGTGGTGATGTTGTCAAATATACTTTTTCCGCCCGTAATTACTGTTTTACCCTTGCCGTCGCCTATAAACATTAAGTTTATTTTGTTCCTCCCTACCTTTAGATTAGTCTCTTCGTACCTGCATGCACCTAAACACACTCAGGCTAGTTGAACATTATTGTTAGAAAATAAAATAAAATAAAATATTAAAAATATTTAATTATATTTTAAATATTTAATAGTATTATTATTAAAAATAAAGGCAAAATACATATTTAATCACCCACTTATTCTTGTGGTTTCATTTAGGTTATATAATTATATTTTTAAAATTATACTCAATGTTACGTTATGATTTTATTTCGATCGCTTTCCGTTAAAAAAAGTAATTACGACACTGAGATATAATTATAAGATAATTTTACAATATAATTGAAATTAAAATATAATATTATATATGATTTAAATAAAAAATAATTAAATGATTAAAATAAAACTACAAAATAAGTGAATGATTAAAATTAGGTACTCGTAAATAAAGAAAAATAAAAAATTTTACCTTCCCTCCTTCACGTAAATGATGATACGGCGAGTACTATGCTCCGGCGCCTTTTTAATCGCCTCAGTAATGGTCTTAACGGTTCCGTTTCCGACTTTTGAAACGATTATGTCGGCACGGATTGCCGACACTGGAGTGTCCAGCAGCGCCCTCTCTTCCCTCCTCAGCCATTTCGGGAAATGCTGCCCGTCCAAATTTTCTCCCGACGCATCATCATTCGACGTCAGCAGCCTCCTGTTCTGCGTCGGCACTCCGCCGAAGTCGTCTCCGCCGCTCGCCGCGAATATCGACAAGCAGTTACTCACGAGCTCCGACAAGTCCGCCAATTTGGCTATCATGTGGTCCCTCACCGCCCCGCTCAATCCCTCGAATCCTTCCGTACACGTGTCCTGGTTCGTCAACGCCGCGCTAAGCCACGTCATGACGTCTTGAGTGGAGCCGCCTTGACCGATGCCTTTCTGAGAAGGAACGACGGAGGAGAGGGAACGGGAGAGGGCGTCGACGGAATCTTCCAGAAGCTCGAGGCAGCCGTCGTAAGCGGATCGTACACGTGGATCCATCTGTGTAACGGAGATGAAGGAGGTCGTATAAAGAGCCTTGTTGAAGCGTTGCAGTGTCACATTGAAGGAGATGTGCACAAGGTCTTGCTCACTTGCAGCAAGCGAGCCAGGGAACTGGATGAACGAGTTAACACAGAGTTTTCGGAACCGAGTTTTGCCGCAAATCCTGGAAATAGCTTGAGTGGGTTTACGGCGGATTGAATCGCCGCCAACTGGAGTGGCGCCGCCTCCGTCTTCACGGAGCACAACTACGACACCGGCACAGACAGCTGAGGCAATGATCATAGAGAAAGCTACAACAGAAATTATTACAAGCTTTTTCTTGTTGGTTTTAGGTGTGAGTTCTCCATGTTGTTGTTGGTGGTGCTGTCCTGGTTTCGACGGTCGGAGCTTGTCGTATCCCATTGATCTTGATTTTGCTAAAAATGAAGAGAGAAATTAGAATTTAAATGAGAGATGATGTGGATGATGAGCGTCGTAAGAAGAGTTATATAAAAAGAGAAAAAAAAACGGCTAAAGCTGTGAGCTGTCTTCTACTTTCACTGTCGCCATATGGGTTACAGCTTACTAATTCCTCTACAATTTAAAATTATAATATATATGGTCTCTATTATTCTGATGTAAGTAGATGTGAATTTGATAAGCGTACTATGTATGTGTTGTGATTATGTGTAATATGTAAATTGCATAAGATGGTGGATGTAATGTACGAGCTCAGAAAAGGACATGTTATATTGTGTTTTGTGGTTAGGTTAAATCTGGGGTTGTCTCCGGAAAAACGAACTAATATACGACATGACCGCAAACATAATAAGTTATTTAACAAAATCGGCTAAGCGCTACTGAAAATGTTGAGTAATAATAATGTTGTAAGTGGAAAATATGAAGAAATATTTAAAAATTTAGCAACCGACAAACTTAGCTTATCGGTAGGTATCAATCAATACCTTGCACATAAGTATCGATACATAACAATATAACAGATTAAAGTTTGACAAAACCGATAGGAAAACCAGATATGTTGAAATTTGTATCGACCTTTTCTAAGTATACACACCAAATTGTTGGTACTTTAGGAATTTAAAAGAATTGCAATAATAGCGCCTAGAAAGTATCGATACCTTAGAAATATGTATCGATACATGCCAATATAATCGGTTAAAATTTGACAAAGTCGGTTTCAATAAAAAATGGGTAAAGCGCTACCGGATATGTTGAAAGTATCTATACTTTTATAAGTATATGTATCATATTATCGATACTTTAGGAATTGGAAATAAAAGAAAAAAAATGGAAATGTATCGAAAGTATCAACACCTTACACAAAAGTATCAAGACTTGGATAATTGTATCGATTAAATATAAATAACATATCCAGTTAAAATATCAAAGGCGCTACATTTCCTCTAAAAAATAGATAGAAGACGGTCGTTGTTTTAGAAATTGAAGCATATTAGTTGCTGAGAAATAGAAGGAATGCATTTTTTAAAGCGTAGTTGTTTGTTTGTTGCTGCATTCAAATCGAAGAGTACGTTGTCGAAACCTTAGTTTTTTAGTCTTATAGTAATCGGAAATAGGGGTTTTATGGGTTTGGGGTTTTCGAAGTAAAAAAGCATTTGAGACCGATTACAGGTAGAAAGTGATATTCTAGGTAGAAAATAAATATCGATATTTTTATATAATATTATAGGTATAAAATGATATTGTAGGTTGTATAAATGTACATATACTTGTAGTAGAGACTATTCTTCTTCCTCTGAAGGAAACCCCAATTTTTTTAGTATTATAGTATTCGAAAATATGGATTAGGGTTTATGGGTTTGGGTTTTCGAAGAGAAGGATTTGAGACCGTTTAGAGTTAGAAAGTGATATTCTAGGTAGAAAATAAATATCGATATTTTTATATAATATTATAGGTAGAAAATGATATTATAGGTTGTATAAATGTACTGATACTTGTAGTAGAGAGTATTCCCATTGCTTTGAAGGAAACCGTTTTACTATAAGATTAGTTATCGATGATTGTATATTGATTGTATGTAACTTGTATTTGATTTGATTTGAGTTAATTTAATGCTTCAATATTCGTAAACTAATATATGAAGGAAAAATGAAGTCAATGAATCTTGCAATTGTTGTTCGCGAAGATGACATTGAAATGAAGTCTGAGAGTATCAACAATGAGGTAAATTGAAAGCAACCATTTGGTGGATATATGTACTTCTAGTAAGTGTCAATGTATTTGTGTAATTGTTGTTTAAATGGTAATTGGATTAAAGTATTTAAGAACTTTAAATTGATTACAAATTTTAAATGTTGACAGTATGACTGAATGCCAAAGGATGAAAGAAGCTGGTAATTACAACATCGGTTTGGTATGTAAAATGAAATTGACATTGAGTATTATTTAGCGTTAATGTATTGATTAAGAAACGTTTATGCTTAATTTCAGGTGAAACATGAGGCGATAGAGAAGTGAAAGTCGATGACTGATGCTAAGAAGGAACCGTACGTGATAAACAATATATAAGAATACTAACATTATATATTTTTAAAAAATGTAGGAAGTGCCGACAAGGTGTAGCATAAAAAGACTAAACTCCATAATTGAACACATGAAGGAGCAGAATAAAGTTCATGTGCTGGAAGAAATTGACAATGTAAGCGGTAAAATTATACTGGTTTAATGACAAAATACGTAAACATAAAGTTTCGATACTTTTTGTATATGTATTGATACTTTTGGTCCAGTATAAAAACATCGATACTTTCAACACAATTGTCGATATTAGGATATTAACCGGTTAAGTTAACATTTTTAACCGATTTCATTACTATTAACCTATAAACAAACTGGCTACGCGTGTTTTTTTTGTCTTCATTATTTAAAAGAAAAAAGAATTGATCCTCCCCTCCATATCGAAAACCCTAAACCCAAAAGGCACAAGATAACTCATCCACTCCGACGAATATTGCCGTTCAGAAATATTGCACCATTCAAGCTTCATAAAATATCCCTTGCAACTGTTACGATAAGATTTGCAGGCAAATTTATTGATATTTTGCTCTAAATTAGGGTTTTATTGATTTAGGGATTTGACTGTTTTTCCTTAATGTGCTTGTGTTCCATGTAACAATATTCACACCTAAAAATGGCTCCAAAACATCCGAGGTGCAGTTATTCTCAATGAAAACCTTATTCTCAACCATGTGCTTCTTCTCATGTAAGTGATTCTGACCAAATCAGGTCGTTTGATACAAACAACTTTAGAACCGATGAGGAGAAATAAAAATGGCATCGACATTTCAAAGTAAGAAAAATTCATCCTGAACGTGTTATTGACATAGATTTCATGTTCGATGAAAAATATAATTTTAGTTTTAAATCGATATTTACATCTTGGGCCTGGCTTGAATTTCTTGGTGTAGAAACAAAATATTTCTCAAACCTTGTTAGAGTGTTCTACAATAATGCTTCATTCCACCGTGAGCCTAATAGGAATAACATCATCGAAATTTATACGCATGTCATGGGGAATGATATATATATATATATATATATATATATATATATATATCTCCAGAATCTATTGTTGCGGGTATAAGTGTCAAGAATAAAGGGGATTCCGATGAAACTGATCTAGATCCTACAATAAAATGTGTTGATAGAAATAGCCCCATTCATCTAGATGTGGAGGCCAGAGTGTTTCACAAAATGCTCACTTGGTTTATATGACCATCTGGTGGAAAATTTTCCGTACTTTGAGATTGCGATTATTAGTGGTTAGCGAAGTATAGCTCCAAAACTACTCCAAACATTGCACAACTGATATTCCAGACAATTGTTAATACAGTCAGAAAGGAAGAATCTATTACAACTTCACTACCATATGGATATGTCATTACCCATCTATTGAAGAAGAATGAAGTTGATTTTTCACTTGACTCCCCTGTTATATTATCCCGAAAGATTGACATGTTATCAATGACTAGAGTGGGGTACACATTTATTGAAAATCTCAGTTAGAGTAAAAATGATGGCATTGGAGTATAACACGAGAAAGAGCAATTGAACCCCATTGGCAATGATGACCACCAATCAATGGAAAACACTAGAGCTAGATTGGATATTACAATGAAGTCAATGATGGAATACATGGTTAATTTCTGGGAGCATTTTTATTCTTGTGTGGGCTATATTAATGACCAACTCGAGGAAATGTGAGCCGATATTTCATCATTGTGTGATGAAGTCTCTAGCCTGCGTAACGAATTCTGTCAACGGCATCATACAATTTAGGTAATTCATTATTTACGTTCTAAACATTTACATGTTGTAAAATGTATTTTCTTTTCTTATAACAGCGGTGGACATTCAATTGCTGAATGAAGATGATGACATTACAGATGATGACGATGACGATGAAGATCCAAACAAGTATATCATGTCTGCAACACCACCGACAAGAAAACTTGTCATTTTTTATGTCAATGGAGTCCTTACCTACTTCTCAAGAAATCCAAAAGTTTTTAATTTTTTTCATTTCTATACATTATTTTACCCTATAACTATTCAATTTTAATATCATTTTGTTCATGTTGTAGATGTTATACTGAGACCAAGTGTATATGAATTTCTTCATTTTTGTTTAGAAAATCTCAGGCATAACATTGACCGTGTATTTCAAAAACTACCTTTATTGTGTTACCACTTTATATTCATTTGGGTAAGATGAATGCCATTTTGCGTTGCTTACTTTTATTTTTTTTTATAATTCTTAGAAATTTATGTTCAACTGTTTGTATAAACAGGATCAAGTAAAGTGTAAAAAAGAAGAAGATATTGTTACCTACTGTAAAGATCTCCATGATGTTTGGAATGCGTTTCCTTATTTTAACCCGAGAAATACATTGTTGGTCGATGATTCAGTGGAAAAATGATTTATAATCCGATAAGTTACATATTTGCCATATGTTTTTTCTGTTAAGATATATGTTCATACATTGATTGATTTGCAATTTATGTATTTAGATAGCAATACAGTTACATATGTCCACATCACTTTGACGCTTCATATTGGGACGACAATGCTTTAGGTATGACATAAATTTATGCCTGCTTATACGAAATTGGTTTCTTATTAGTAAAATTGAACATCATTCGTTTGTTAATTGGAATTATTTATATATGTCCTCAGAAAAAGGAGGAAATATACGCGAGTATTTGGAAAAATTGTCGAAGACGCCTAATGTTCCGGACTTTGTCAGAAATAACCTTTTTTTTATGATTAATTCATTGTGGGTAGACTATTAGAACATTGTTATGTATAACATTGTTTTTTATGTATGCTTGGTTTACTTATGTTGTGTGTATATTTTCATTGCATGCACATAATGCACTATTTTTAATTTAAATGTACTCAAACATATAAAACAAAAACTGT